TTTATTCTGACCCCAACTTTGACCAAAAATGCCGCTGTAAACGTAAGCCACTTGGGACTCTCTGACCCGGTTTGGACCCAATCAGGGAGCCTTCTCTCCCGTGCAGAAGCTTCCTGCTCCCAGCCAATTTCATGAAGGAACTGCTCCTCCCTCCAGCCCCGTCCCACCCCGGCCCCACCCCCCACAGCAGAGCCCTCAAACAGAGTCGCAGGACCGCTCTCCTGAGGTTTTGCATCAGTCTTTAATGCCTTTGTGCTGCACAATGACAAGTCACAGGCTTTAACTCCTGGGTTGGCAGTGGCAACTTACAGAGTCTACAGGGCTGAGCGTTAGACTGGCCTCCAGGGAACAGACATGTGTCCTGAGGCCTCCCCATCCCCATGGTCTCTTCTAGACTCAGACAGGGCCCTGGACAGAGGGCAGCAGCTGTCCTGGACTGGCTTTGTCTGAGTGCCCACCAACATTACATGGAATTATAAAAACATATTTACAGACGTTCCACAGTGCTCCAGTCATCAGAAGCAAAGACCCTTTTATCAAAAGGGATTATATCTGTGGCTGTGCAAAATTCAAGAGGATTAGATCCTCTTGAAAGAGTCCAGAGTCCATTAGTTCAGGAGACCAAAAAACAAAATAAAAAGAGCTGGGGCTCTGCCACAGCCCAGGTGTGCCCAATGGTGGCCTCATAGAGGGGCAAGTGTGACACCTAAGTGCCTAGGCTTTGCCAGGGTCCAAGGTCCCCGGGGGCCCCCAAAAGAGGCTGTGGCGCGATGCCGGCTCCCTTGGTCCTGCTGGGACGAGGTGTTGCCTTGGGTGCCAGCTAGGCAGTTTTGCAGGGAATGGTCTCGGCTCTCAATTTGAGATGCAAAAGGACAGGTAGGCTTCTGCAGGGAAGAGCAAGACGTGGGAGACAACACAGAAGAAAACACAAACCAACCAAGCACACAAGATGCTGGAGTATCGGGGGCTGGTAACCAAGACGACGGGAAAGCTGGGAACATGGATAGGAACTACCAAGGGTTCAAATCCAGTTGTGGTTCAGCCTCTTGCTCCTGTGCAGACACCGAGGAGGAGGGGGAGGGCTGCAGGGTGGCAGACTATAGTACCTGTTCCTGCTCTCTGCCCCCACCTGCCGCCCTATCGCTCGAAAAACCACTTAAGTCTAGTGCACGACTTTGAAAGATTGTAATATATTCTCTGGAAAACATTCAGCAGTACGAAAGCCCGCCCTGGGCCCTCCCGCCCTCTCGTGGGCCCACTACTGGTGGAACGAGCTGGAAATCCTTGAGTTTTGAAAGGTCCCTGGTCAGTTCTTGGGGCGTGCAGGTGGCTAGATGGGAAGAACCTGCTCAAGTACGGTTCTCGATGTCTGGGGAATCCTTTCGGGGAAGATGACTTCAAACTCAATAATTAGGTCCCCGCGCTTCTCAGGCGTTTTGGGGAGGGGGAGGCCTTCTCCAGGAACTTTCCGCCGCATGCCAGGCCTGATGACATCTTTGAACACGACGGGTATGGTCCTGCCGTCCAGAGTGGGGACATTCACCGTGCAGCCACACAGAGCCTTAGAAAGCAAAGGGACAGCATTAGACGGAGGACAGTCAGGGACGCTCAGCCCCTACCCAGAGTCTGTCTGCTGGGAGGAAGGCCCAAGAGGCCAGTGCAGTCAAGACCCTGCCCCCAAATCGACCAGGTCAGTAGCATGAAAGGGCTGGACGACAGTCAGGCCTTTTTTAACCTCATCCCTGCTGCACTGCCCACCCCGAGCTTATACACACTTGTCCAGCAGACACTGTCTCAAAAAAACGTCCCTCCCCGGCCCTGCCTGGTGTCTTACCTCCCGGAGGCTGACCCTGGCTGGGTACACGACGTCAGAGCCATCTCTCTTAAAGATATTGTGGGGCTTGTCCTTTAAAACAAAGACGATGTCAGCTGGAATGTTGCTGGAAGTCTGGTCTCCTTCCTTGGGGAAGGTGATTTTGGTCCCTTCTTTCCACCCCCTCTTCACTTCGAT